ATCCATCAAGTGAGGAGATCCACCTAGGAATGGTGGCATGACAAGTAGGGGCCCCTGCCGGGAAGGTTCAGATGGTATGTACAGATTATCCGCCATGGCTGAACTGCCTGCACCACATCTGAACGGTTCAGGGAAATCTCTCTGGGAGGCTTCGGAACCAAACAAAGGCGGCAGGACAATGTTCTGATGGAGGTGGAAGAACCCATCGTGGGAAGGAGATGGCTGGAGGCCTCAGTATCACTATGATGAAAAGACTCTTCACAGGACGGGGCCGCCAATTCTGATTTCCTGAGCCACCTGCACCCTTAAGGGGTGTCAAACGTCCAGTTCCACCCTGAAGGTTGATGTGCGTTCTGACCGTGTGTCGTCCAACTGAATCCTTGAAGACAACCTGCACACCTCAGGAAGTGGATCGCTATTGGTCCCAGAAAATTGATGAGAAGTCTGGCTGTGTGGCCCCTGTAACTGCATCTATGATCTGCCACGCATGGCCAATGGAGAGCCGGTGCCCTGTGTAAGGTGGCCCAGGCTTGGAACCAGTAGAGCAGCGGTGAAGCATCTCCCTTGTGTGCCTACGCAGAATCCCGAGAGCACCTCCAGGACCAAATTACAGGAACTCCCCCCTCATCTCAAACTACGGCAAAGGGCTCGGCGAGCAAAAAACAGAGGAAGGCTCTAAGTGGAGGGGTCCTACAAGGCCGCCCCTAAAGCTGCGAGTGGGAGGGGTCCTACAAGGCCGCCCCTAAAGCTGCGAGTGGGAGGGGTCCTACAAGGCCGCCCCTAAAGCTGCGAGTGGGAGGGGTCCTACAAGGCCGCCCCTAAGGCTGCGAGTGGGAGGGGTCCTACAAGGCCGCCCCTAAGGCTGCGAGTGGGAGGGGTCCTACAAGGCCGCCCCTAAGGCTGCGAGTGGGAGGGGTCCTACAAGGCCGCCCCTAAGGCTGCGAGTGGGAGGGGTCCTACAAGGCCGCCCCTAAGGCTGCGAGTGGGAGGGGTCCTACAAGGCCGCCCCTAAGGCTGCGAGTGGGAGGGGTCCTACAAGGCCGCCCCTAAGGCTGCGAGTGGGAGGGGTCCTACAAGGCCGCCCCTAAGGCTGCGAGTGGGAGGGGTCCTACAAGGCCGCCCCTAAGGCTGCGAGTGGGAGGGGTCCTACAAGGCCGCCCCTAAGGCTGCGAGTGGGAGGGGTCCTACAAGGCCGCCCCTAAGGCTGCGAGTGGGAGGGGTCCTACAAGGCCGCCCCTAAGGCTGCGAGTGGGAGGGGTCCTACAAGGCCGCCCCTAAGGCTGCGAGTGGGAGGGGTCCTACAAGGCCGCCCCTAAGGCTGCGAGTGGGAGGGGTCCTACAAGGCCGCCCCTAAGGCTGCGAGTGGGAGGGGTCCTACAAGGCCGCCCCTAAGGCTGCGAGTGGGAGGGGTCCTACAAGGCCGCCCCTAAGGCTGCGAGTGGGAGGGGTCCTACAAGGCCGCCCCTAAGGCTGCGAGTGGGAGGGGTCCTACAAGGCCGCCCCTAAGGCTGCGAGTGGGAGGGGTCCTACAAGGCCGCCCCTAAAGCTGCGAGTGGGAGGGGTCCTACAAGGCCGGCCCTCCAGATGGGAGTGGTCCTACAAGGCCGCCCCTAATGCTGCAAGTGGGAGGGTTCATACAAGGCTGGCCCTCCAGCTGGGAGTGGGAGGGTTTATACAAGGCCGGCCCTCCAGATGGGAGTGGGAGGGTTCATACAAGGCCGGCCCTCCAGATGGGAGTGGGAGGGTTCATACAAGGCCGGCCCTCCAGATGGGAGGGGGAGGGTTCATACAAGGCCGGCCCTCCAGATGGGGGTGGGAGGGTTCATACAAGGCCGGCCCTCCAGATGGGAGTGGGAGGGTTCATACAAGGCCGGCCCCCCAGATGGGAGTGGGAGGGTTCATACAAGGCCGGCCCTCCAGATGGGAGTGGGAGGGTTCATACAAGGCCGGCCCTCCAGATGGGAGTGGGAGGGTTCATACAAGGCCGGCCCTCCAGATGGGAGTGGGAGGGTTCATACAAGGCCGGCCCTCCAGATGGGAGTGGGAGGGTTCATACAAGGCCGGCCCTCCAGATGGGAGTGGGAGGGTTCATACAAGGCCGGCCCTCCAGATGGGAGTGGGAGGGTTCATACAAGGCCGGCCCTCCAGATGGGAGTGGGAGGGTTCATACAAGGCCGGCCCTCCAGATGGGAGTGGGAGGGTTCATACAAGGCCGGCCCTCCAGATGGGAGTGGGAGGGTTCATACAAGGCCGGCCCTCCAGATGGGAGTGGGAGGGTTCATACAAGGCCGGCCCTCCAGATGGGAGTGGGAGGGTTCATACAAGGCCGGCCCTCCAGATGGGAGTGGGAGGGTTCATACAAGGCCGGCCCTCCAGATGGGAGTGGGAGGGTTCATACAAGGCCGGCCCTCCAGATGGGAGTGGGAGGGTTCATACAAGGCCGGCCCTCCAGATGGGAGTGGGAGGGTTCATACAAGGCCGGCCCTCCAGATGGGAGTGGGAGGGTTCATACAAGGCCGGCCCTCCAGATGGGAGTGGGAGGGTTCATACAAGGCCGGCCCCCCAGATGGGACCGGGAGGGGGTCCTACAAGGCCGGCCTCCTGTTGTAGACGACAGCGAGTGTATATCCGTCAGTGCTGCAGAGGAACAGTGTGCCAAAAGAGCATCATAGCAAGAGCCCCTCCCCCCCAGCAGGCAGTGTTCCACTTTAATTGTAGGCACACCATCTAGTGTATAGAAACTCACCGGGTCCGAATGCCGTGCCCAATCCTGCCCCGAGTGTCCCAGGTGCGTTCTTATTGCCAAAAAGGCCGGTCCCTGCGGTGCCGGACCCGAATCCTGCAAAGAGAAGAAAATAGTTCTCACAACCTGCCGAGATAAAGGGGGCTTCCGCTGACTTGTAATAAACCTCAGCACGGACCGCTCATGTGTGGTGCACGGGATAAACACGCTCCCCCTATACAACCAAATTCCAGGATACAAATATACCCCGCCCCCAATGGACTTCAACCCAACAAGTGAAATCTATTCTCCCCCCTTACCCCCAAACAGGCCGCCAGTGGCTGTGCCAAAAGCCGGGGCGCTGGTCGTTGCCGTCCCAAAAGCAGCAGGTTTGTTGTTGTTGAACAAGCTCTGGAAAAGAAGAAGAGGATGGTGGAGCCGTCAGCCAGCCAGCTGGACTCCCCCTTGAAGAGGCCACAGACATAACCCCACCCCTAACCACCACCCCCTGCACAGACATAACCCCGCCCCTATACACCCCCTCCAC